AAATGCGTCCATACGTACGTACTCGATTTAGATTCTGAAGTACTGACCAAATTAAGTATGCCTGCATTTGAGATGAACTTACCAAGTCCGCAAGTGAAGCTTCAAACACCCGCCCTTGGAAAATAAGCCTTTCATTGGCACCGCAGGATGTGACAGACATATCAGCAAACGAATTACTTTTCATGACAATTCCCAATCTGTACCATACCATTTATCGCCTCATATGATTGTGTTCATGCACCCTCAAACAATTTATACCCATGTCATCAGTTCTCCCCCTATTTTTCCCAAGCATATAGCCTCACTCGACAAGTGTCGGGGACTTCCTTCGCTGGAGGCTTGCGGCCAACCACAAATTTATCTTTTATCCCGCCCACCACCAGTCCCATCCTTGAGTCGTTCATAAATTTTTTCCTTTGCCCACTCCGTCACGCGGAGCTTCCTGTCGCCCTGGTACCCTGTGTTTTATCAATGCCTTCTTTTATACTTACAAGTTTCCCTCAGCACACTCCTTTGCTCTGAATTCACCATTGCGTACAATGTAGCTATAAGTCCTCGATGGAAAAAAACATCGCCATATAACAAGTTTTATGCACATCTACAAAAAAAATCTCCGCTATATCTTCAGGATATATAGCCCAGTTGCCGCGTTATAAAAGGCAATGTGTTCGCTGTGACAGCATCTACGAAGATAGAGCGCACCGGCAGCGAGGACCTGCAACAATATGACGACAATAGAAGCTCTGCAAGACGCATCAGTTATGCCGGGGTGGGAGAGGAACCGTCTTATCCTCCTACACCATGATGGCATGCCATTTGACGACTCAGGTTTCCTGCAACGCTATGGGTACCCACCCGACATGGGTGTTAGATGGGTGAGAACAGTCGGTGTACCAGCATCAAGTGTCTTCTTACTCTCCCAACAAGAGCTTGCACAAACGGTGGAATACGTCCAAGGTACAAAGTTTGTTGAGTTCAAGGTGACGTTGAACTTTGTCACGGTTCCCTTCGAGCATATTGCAGTGTATATAGACATGCGACTTGGATTACTTCACCCAAGGATGGCAATGGTCAAGGGAGAGAGATCCATGAGGTACTGCTAGAATTCATCAGGCTGGTATTAAGGTTGTATGGTGACCACTATAGATTCACAACATGTGTTCGCATGATATGTCCACCTATAACACCAGGAGTTAGGAGCAGTTTTACTAAACGACAATGTCAAGTATCTATTTGAACATGTTTCGCGACAATTTGCAACGATCGTGTCGACATATAGAGTTGTTGGGTTATTGCTCTCTATTTTGCACGACTACATTTGACATGCTTCTCGGTTGAAAATGATTGAGGTCTGTAGCTTATCTGTCTTTGCCCTTTATGATTTATCATTCTGTTTTCCTCGTCTTTTGTTTATATGTTTTGGAAATGTTCATATCATTATGTAAACGAGATTACTTTTTCGGTCTTCATGGTTACAAAAGCCTGCTTGCGCGTGCTTCATGTGTCTGCATGTGCATCCCTCTTTCGTATCTTCTCTCATCCATGTCATATGCCTACGCTACTCTCCAACGTTCCAACCTCGGCTGATGAACATATATATAAACAACGAATAACGGTCACAAACACGTGAATTGACATCAAAAGAGACTCAATGCAAGACAAGGACGGACTCGCAGAGACATAGATTGGCTTACAGGGACCACCAAGGACATTCCAAAACAAAAAAGTTTGTCTTCATTACGTACAATGACATGCAGATAACGATAGCAATGAATCTACCTCATCTACCATACTTGGTTGTACTATATTTTCTACGAGCTACTGTAGACTACCATACTACCTTTCTCGAATACACTTCCTACCCTAAACAACTCTATAGTAGTCCGAATTACTCTACATTACCCTCAAAGTACTACGAATTACTATACCGTGCAATGCTCTCAACAATTTACTGTACTTTCTGACAATATACTCTCCTGAGAACTCGCATTGCTCTAGCGGTGAAGTGCTACTATCCCCCAACTAACTCGCTTACCTTGGCGTTGGCGGGAAACCGTGATGGCTGCCACTGGCGGCCAATAGCGAGGTCACGTGCGATGGCGGGCGTTGGCGGGGGTCGTTAGAGTTGTCGTGGGCAAGTGGCGACAGGCGGAGGGAGACATCAGGAGGGAACGAGCAAACTTCGAGAGAAGAACGGTTGTGTGGGGGAGTGAACAGGGGTCGGCGATTCCCACCCTCACCAATTTCAAATCGCGGTCCATCTAGGTCGTCGATCTTTGAGATCGACAACCCAGATCAGTCCCGATTTCAAATCGGTGCTCCCGCTCCGAAAACAAATTGACCCCCCCCCCCCCCCGCCGCCTTCTTCTATGCGGTGGTGTCGCATGGTGGGCAACCCGGCGAGACAACCGGCCAGGCGACCTGCCAACCCCCTCCCCCCTCCTCGATGACGACCATGTCCCCAACCGGTCGGGGACCAGCCTAGGTTTTATTTTGATTTTCAAATTATATCATAAATATTGAACATACACACATGTATACATGGTGTATACATACATCCTTTTCTATTACGTTGTACGAATGCGTGCGTACGTGGTATGTACACAATGATTGATGTAAGGGTTACACCCATAGATACATTTACATACAGTGAGAAATGGAGAGAGGTAGATAAAGAGATGGAGAGAGGGAGCAAGTGATAGAACTTATGCTGTTTCATTTTCATTATTCCAAATCATTTTCTCTAAAGCTAATATGGATTTGCACCACCACTATTTTATTTTTTTTCCCCTTGGTAAAGTTTAAGGTTCGAACGATCAACAATGCGAACGGTTACCCAATAAAAACTTTTATCGTTCACGAGCAACACACAAATCTAGAACGTACCATCGTGCACAACAAGCATTGACATTCAAGAAAATGCAACAAATAACCTAGAACAATTGAACCATCGTCAAGAATATTATAACATGACATATCACAATTTCATCGTTGACAGTCAAGCCACAACAGAAGGATAGGTGGTTTGCTACGAATATAGTATATCACTTTGTGCCACCTTATATAACCGACCAACTTAAAAGTTAAAATTATAATGTTGAAAAAGAGTTTCCCGATGTTATGCTTCAAAAACAATAAAAGACACGGAAAAATGTTGAACGACGGACATTGATATGACGTGGATGCCTTCTATTCTACCTAACGGCTACAACGAAAATTTAACAAATTAAAAAAGTGAATCCTTTGGTAGCACAACAATAGAGGGGAACGGTAGCACAAATATAGAGGGGAACGATTATTATGAGCTGCACACTGATTATGTGAGTCATCCTGCTGTTGTCGATGCTTGCGAGCTCTAGATAGTATCTCGGTCAGATATCGATCGCTTGCTTCGCTTGAGTGCATAATATGAACTCTACCTTGCAAGCGGAGCAAAACGTCGTCTACGTACGGATCAAGCGCGGCGCATAGGGCCTCAACTTGCTCCTTAGCATTCGAGAGACCCCTTGATACATGCCTTCTTCTCGGCACAAGGAGAACGTTGTCAACAAGAACATATTTTGTACATGACAGTCGTATACTTGATAGCGCTATATATAATAAATGTGGTGTAGGCGGATAGCGGAAGCTCTTTGGATTGGAAGGTTGTCAACGTTTCTTGGGACAATTTACATAAATTAGAGAGGCCAGAGACACCTATTAAATATGTAGGCCCGCCAAACATTTATTTACTAAGAAAAATGTCGAGGTGGAGGTTTATTTTTCACCAAATATATCATGAAGATAAAGTGTGTCATGAGTTGGCAATCGGGATCTGTACAAGAGTACAAAACAACATGTCATATTGAAATGTATATTGGAGCATTGGCGGCCGCGAAAGCATTATGTTCCGTAAAGGAGTAAATAATATAACGTTGCCATGGGACGTCGCTCCACTATTTCAGAAATGTTCAAAATGATAATGGATTGCCGCTAAAACTTGGAAAAATGTGTTGTCATATTGTCTTTTTTTCGCGGATGTGAGCAGTAGGGAACCGGGGTCCATGGTCCAACAGTGTTGGCAAATTCAATTGAGCCTGTCTATGGAGACTTGTGCAGCTGTACGAAAACGTTTGGGGTCGCAGGCCAAAACCAAATAAAAAATGTCACGCTCGCATCAAAGCTTGGCGAGCAATGGGGGCTCGGTGCTCCTGAACTTATTGTCTCATTTATCGGTGCCGTAATATATAAATAAGTGAAGGTCACGCGCGCTAAATATTATACCTACTGCATATGTGGTTCGAGGCTTGAGGGCACCAATGACATTGTGCTTCTTACATATGTTAGGGTGGGTTGTACTATGTTGACATATGGGATTGGGTCTCTGCACAAACATCAAAACTCGTGCAACTGAATCAAAACAGTTGGCGGCGCATGCCAAAAGGAAAACAAAAATTCCACACTCACGTTTCGGCAAAGCTTGATGTGCAGCAGAACCCTCCTGGTCCCTCCTCCTTCAAATAGTATGTGTGTATTTTATTTTCCACCAGTACCCCTTACTTACGCTGGCAAAGCCGCGCTGGCCCATCTTGTCTTCTTCTTCTTCTCTCCTCCTCCTTCTCCACCTACTTTTGCCTTCTCCTTCTCTCCTCTTCCACCTCGTACTCCTTCATCATCCTCTTTTCTTTTTTTTTCGTCATCCCCATACAGTACCGACAGGTCCTCCTCGTCCTCCTGCTCCTCCTGCTCCTCCTCCTCCTCCTCTCTCTCTCTCTCTCTCTCTCTCTCTCTCTCTCTCTCTCTCTCTCTCTCTCTCTCTCTCTTGCGCGCACACACACGCACGGGGCGCTGTACAATTTCTCACCCGGTGCCGAATGCTCATTCTGCAGACAGGCAGCATGAGCCCTCCACGCAAACACACACAACGGGCCCCTACCTGCTCCCTAACACCAATTCTGAAAACAGCGAGCATCAGCCCTGCACACAGCCAAACGCAGCAGGCCCACCCTCCCCTGTTATTCCTACCGAATACGCAGACGCTAATGTGCATTCGGGATGATGGCTGGAGGGGATGATGGCTTGCATCCTACCAATGTCACGACTGCTGCTGAAAGTATGCCTCCTCCTTCACCGCTGCCACCACCACCACACCATCTTCTCCTCCACCACCACCACCATCACCACCACCACCACCACCACCACCACCAGCACCAGCTCTTCCACCTACATCTTCTACTGCACAATCCCCTTTGTCAATTGGCTCTCCTTCCTCCTCTTCGTCCTCCTCTCCCTCCCCCTCCGCCTCCTCCTCCTCCTCTCCCTCCTCCTCCCATTCCTCCCCTTTGTCATGGACCTCACCATCAACACATTCATGGTCAGATCGGCCATCACAGAGGCCTCAACGACGGAGGTCTCTTCGGCAGAGACATTCCCTATCTCCACCGATGCCTCCTAGACAGCGGCCTTGTTTGTCGTTGAACAGCATGATCACCAAATCCCTGGCAGGGGTCAGCGAATCTACTCCGACGCCATGCTTGTAACCAAACGGAATGGCATCACTGCTCTCAATATACACTAGCCTGGAATAGTCCATGCCGAGACCGATGCCCATGATGTGGTAACGACTTTTTCAGTGCTGCAGGCCTGGGTGCGCACCAGACACAAGGTGCAGCCACCTGTGCAGCATGTGCACGAGTAGCAGCCACCCTGACTACAAGTACAGCTGATCAGCTTCCACTTCCAGCGTCCGACCCACCCACTTCTCATCTATCTAGACCTGATTGCTCCCCCATTCCAACTGGCAATGATCCACCTTCTGAATAGTTGAAGAAGCCCCTGACTGGAGACGATCTCTCTCCGGAACGCATGCTACTGTCAATGGAGTAAATACAGCTGGAGGAACCTGACTGAAACAGTGAAGACCGCAATGAGCCCCACGTTCGGCAACCACGCAGAATCAAATGACCTCATTGTGCTACAGCAAGGTTATCGTGTGTGCTATGCAATCAATGTATGTCTCCTTGCTTACAATTGCAACCCCTATAGTGTTTCCGATTTTGCAGACATTGTCCGTTCGACAGAAGAAGAGCACCGTGCTGTCTGGCCAGAGGATGACGGTATTGCGCCAGCCGTGAACGTAGAAGTCCTGTCTATGGCATTTATGGGAAGACGACTACAACTCCAACCCACTCCACAGAATTACATGCCAGAAATGGACCCGAATATTTGTGCATACATCTTGCATAGTCCAGGTCATTTCAGTGCTGTTACCCTTGGAGATAACTCATGGACCCTATGGGACAATGGGGGTAGTGTGTACATGGTGGGAAATATTAACTCTTTCTATCGCCATGCAGTAGAATCTCATTCGGTCTGCCTGGTCAACCAGGAACAATATGTGGATGTGCACTCACAAGCTCTTCAGCCTCCAGAGGGCAATCTGGCTGAACCCCTCCCCGTTCCCTCTATACGGCCAAGCAGCGCCCCTTCCCTGTGAAGGTCAGTGGGATTATACCACAGACAATGATTCAGAAGGGGGCTCTCCAGAGGATAGTGTCTGTGCAATGCCATTGTGTTGCCACACAGCTACAATCCGGTTAGCATGCACACAGCATAGTCTCTGCTCCGAACGCCTCAAAGGGATGGTCACTGCCAGCCTCTTTCAAGAAAACTGTGACCCATTGTCTTGTGCTCATCCCCCGCACCCCATAATTATGTGCCCAGCATGCCATTGTGGCCTTGACACGCCATGCTTAAATAACTACGAACGTCAGCCTGCGTTCGTGCCGACATGTCAACAATATGCCATTTGTCGTCAATGTTTCTGGGAAGCTGTCATAGAAAATATGTGTCTCTACTTCATGGACTATCCCCGATGCCATCACCAGTGACGTACTCTCCTGGCGAGTCCTGCATGTAGCGTTGGGCATACACCTGCTGCAACCGCAGTTGGATCTCCTTCATCCTCACCAGACGAACAACTGACGCAGCAGCCTGAGGAGTAAAATAGACTACCATATGAATCCCCTACAGAGCACCGTACTGACAGGTTATCACCACCAGGGCGAGCTGTTGCAGACCAAATCCTGCAACAGCTAAACACCCTTGTTTTGGATCCGTTCCAGTCCTCGTCTGTTCATAGAGAGGAAATGACATGGTTGCCAACCGGACGTCCGGATCCCGATCCAGACAGTCCGGTGTCCGGTGTCCGGTTTGGAGGATCCGGTTGGACCCTCATTTCAAGAAATTCGGAAAAAAAAAAAAAAGGGGTCCCCAGGCCATTTTCCTGGGTCTGGGGTACACCAGAAAATTGTTGCTGTAGTTTTTTGTCGACCGTCTCCCCAACTGGACCAGCCCTGAAGGGCCCGCTGTTGGAGAACTTTGGAGGGCAGTAGCAGCCACAGTATCCTAGTGTTGGTTTCAAGCCGGCAGGAGGACCCCGTTTTCGAACGAAGCGCCTCCTGCAGCAGCACTCCCTCTGGTGTAGCAGCGCTCTCCTCAAAGTTCCCGCCCGCTGCATCCATGTCACCGCCAGCTCGAGCTCCTCCATCGCCCAGGAGTCCAGGAGATTGCCGCCGCCGACGAGGAGGTTGCCGTCTTGCCGGTCCAAGATTCAAAGTTCCGAACTTTAAAGTTCTTGGGGTCTGGAGCGGGTGTGGCTGATGCTTGGGGGCTGGAGCGGGTGTGGAACTGATGCTTGGGGCCTGGAGCGTCTGTGGAACTTTACTCTGTGTGTGTGTGTGTGTGTGTGTGTGTGTGTGTGTGTGTGTGTGTGTGTGTGTGTGTGTGTGTGTGTGTGTGTGTGTGTCTGTGTGTGTGTGTTTGTGTGTGTGTGTGTTTGTGTCATGTGTGCCGGCTCAAGATTCCAAGTTCCGATCTTTGTTAAAGTTCGTGCGTTAATATTTCCAACTGTGTTATGACCCTGGCCAATTTCGAGATACACATCCACTGGAAAGTACAATGCCATCCAATTGCAGAAAGAAATGAATGAACTTGAGAGGTGAGAGAGGAGTAGAAGAAGAAGAAGAAGTAAGAAAGAAGAAGAAGAAGATGTACACCAGCAAAGACAATGACAAGGCTCTTCTTCTTCGCCCAACAATCCCCTCCTCCTTATCTCCCCCTTCTCTTATTCATACAAGAAATAATAATACAATGTTGAATGACTGGTCCAGAATCATGTCCGAGTCCCTTTTCTACTGCAGGTATCACTCAAGGTCCACCATAGCCATGGCTGCCTCCCCCACTCTTCACACACATAGGCCGAGGCTATGGCGGAATACTAGGCCTTGCACCGACGTCCAAAGGGCAACCCAGAGCAGCTATGGCTGCTCCAGCTCAGGCCGCCATGCCCATCCTTGCCTTGAAGCTTCTTGGTGTAGCTCCCCCGGCTGGGGACTCCTTGCAGCAGCGCCCACCAAGGTGATGAAGGTGGCTGCCACCATAGCCAGGTAAGTACCCCTGGCGCTCCTCCCCCTTCCTCCTTCCTTCCTCCTCCTTCCTCCCTCTAGTCCTTCTTCTTCCTCCCCAGCAGCGCAGCTCCAACCCAGCGCTGCTCCCTCCAGCGCTCCACCAGTGTGTCGCCAAACTTGCACACCGAAAAAGAGGCCGGGTCTTCCGCCCGGCCGGAAGATATAGCGGCCTGCTTTGCCTCTTGGGCGGTGACTTCCAGGCCGCTGGCCTTCCCAAGCAACCGGTACCTCTTCCTCCTTTTGGAGGGAACATCATTGCAGACTCTGATATTGCCCCTACAGGCCCTAGACTCAGACTGGTACCCGCTAGACCTAGCCTACACTACCGGCCTCTAAAAATGCCACTTTTGTCTTCTTCTGCTCGGCCTCCGGTACCTGCATATTTACCCCCCTGCAGGGTGCGGTACCGGCCTACCCGCTACTTGAGTGCTTTTTCCCTGCTGCAACCCTTCGAAGCCACGGCCACAGGTAAGTACCGGCCCTGAGGGCCCAACAAACGAACAAGTGCCCTGGCGGGCCACACACACACACACACTCATACCAACCAGCACTCAGACAGGCATGGTCACACACGCAAGCCAACCAGCACTCAGACAGACATGCAGTCCAGCAAGCAAACACACACACAGACTTAGCAGGCGGGGAACTCAGTAGGGCATTCAGTCTATGAGCAAAACTCAGAAATCAGCTGTGTGTTTCAGTCCGTGTCCGGACGGGTTATCACAATTGTTATTAACTTATTAGGATGTTGGACCAGTCCCACAAACCTGTGTGTGTCTGGGCTTGTGTCACATGTGGCACTTTTTTTTTTTTTATACCGGAGAACCGGACATTGATACACCCAACCGGACTGTCGGGGTCCAGTTGTCCGGATGTCCGGTTAACCGGACGTCCGGTTTAATCCAGACACGGGTCCGGTGACTGTGTCCGGTTGTTCGGATGTCCGTCTCCGGGGCAACCATGGGAAATAATGATTGTGGAAAGCCAAGAAACCTGCTCAATGCTGCTTTGCGATGGCCCACCTGAGATCCGGCTAGCATGTGATTTGCATGCCTGGCGTGGTGAGGATTATGACGGCATAGCCATGAAGTTTATTTTTTCAGACGTGTGAGGACAGTCAACATTGCGCTCGTGTACGGCACCCTGACATGTCATGTCTAATTTGTAGACAAGGGCTGGAACGGCAATGCCTACACAATTGCAGTTGGCGTGCCTCGCTGTGCCATTCGATGCAGAAACTGCAACTGTGAGAATTGGATGCGGTGCTTCCACAGCCCACACCTGAACCAGTCCTGTCCGGTCTGTAGGAGTGCATACTTACCATAGGCAATGGCTGCTCCTCAACTCAAAATCTTCTGCAACCCAAATACAGACTGACCTCTCGTGTCATGTTAGAGTAGTCTGCTCCAGCAGTGAGTATTGGGAACCTTCTGAAGCTTGTCATTCATCTGTTCTCCTCTTTGCCACTTCACTTCCCTCCTCCACCCGTCTCTCTCCCGCCTCTTAATTCCTATGGAACTCCACTCCATACCCCTTCCTACCTCCCTCCCCTTGTGTACTATGATAAATGCATACGAATGAGCATCATTAAGAGAACAGACAAAATATAAGCTGAAGATCTGAAGAAAAACGTACAGCAGTATGTCCCCCACTTTACTCTGCCTCATAACGTGCAAGTGTCACAGTGCCATTAAGGCGCTCAACCACAATCAAGTGGCCAGCCTTGTATGTGAGAGGCATCGCGAAATGGGAACTACAAGAACAACTAAAAGGGGTCACGGTACCCAAAAGAAAACTGAAGTAAATAATAAATATACTTCAGAAGTTCAGAAAGGGAAATAAATTCAAATAATGGATCCATTCTGCTCCATGTTGCTTGATATAG